TAAAGATACAGACAGTGAATATCCCTGGTTAGGAGGCTGGAAGAGGATGGGGGCCTAAAATCTTTCATGTGCTAACATATGCAGTTTGTTTGGCGTTTTGGCCCACAGTGGAGAGGAGCACAATCGAATTTTGATAACTAATGAAAACACTGGAAGTGCCGTTCAGATCTCCCAAATAAGTAAGCCTGTATGCGCAGTGAACTGGTAGCTTATCTCCCTGAGCTGTGTTCCAACATGTAATCGCCACATCGACTGTCCAGGTGTTCTTGACTGTCTTAGTAACACTCAGAAGACTGCCCCATGATAAAATTTTGATATTCTCAGCATGAAACTTACGTAGCTAAAATGTAATTACCTTGACGGCTTTGGCTGCTACAAAATTAAACTGATTAATCCATTCATTCGCTTGCTGGTGAACGCCAAACTTATCTGGGTGCTCTTTTCGTTGTTTACACAAAAAAAAAAAAAAAAATTGCTAAAAGAGTTCTTTCGTGGCAGATGCAATTCGGATCACCATCTGTCGACTTCCCCACGTTCTTCGAAATGAAACTAACTCTGTGAGCGGCCAAAAGTGTACCAGGATCTGGTGATACTGAAGTTTCTAATGACATCAAATTTCGAGTGAAGGGTTACCCAGAACCTGAACAGTTATACTCACAATCGCTTATCATGCGCGGTCCACTGTTCAACTGCATGCAAAGTGGCCTGCCCAAAAGTCTTGGATTTATAAATTCTCTCCGTAAGTTATAACTCTTGGAGAAAGCAAAAAAAACCAACACAATAGTGATTGCATTCAGCTCTTTGGTCATATCGCGTAATCGATTGTTTGCTTCGATTAGCTGCTGATCGTTCTGCTCCTTTTTACGATAGAGATCGGCAAGTTTGGCTTCCAATTTCGCTGCACGATCGTCCGCTCCCTCCCTGAAAAATCCGGCTCAGAATTATCATGAAAGAGCTGTCTGTGCATTCTTAAAACTTCCATTGTCTTTATTTCAATGACCCGGATTCGGCAGGGAAAATGAACAACTTGTCTGGAGTTTGAAAACGTATTATGTTATATGAAGTACCTGCTGAGTTGAATTACCTAAATTCATCACTAAAGCAAATGTTTTGGGTTTTTTATGCGAAATCCATCTATCATATGAATGGCTTATAATCAAACAGCGTCGAAAAATTGCTACAAAACAGCTGGACAAACGAACCCTGCCAAGCCCAATGGTGTAGCGGTGGGATCCACAAAGTTCTGCGAGTGCAACAA